TATTGAATGGAAACCACTAACCTGGCTCCGTTACACTACCTGGATCCCTCTCTACCCTTTAGGAGCCTTGGCAGAAGGTATGTCTGAAAAAGACAATTTAATAAACAATGAAGTCAAGGCTGGGCAAGTAACTCAATTTTTGGTTTGGCTGCTGGACTGAAAAATAATATAATAGAACAACAAATAAATAGACATTTGCTCTGAGCTGAAACAAATGTAAGCATTTTTGTCTTTCTTATTGAATCAAGTATTTTTTTCAATGTGATGTGAAAAGAAGTCTTCCTTTCGGACACTGGAGAGGAAAGTAAAGGCAACAAAAGGTTACCTGACAAAGTGACCAAGCGTGTGCTGCAGTCCATGCGAGCGGCACAAGACAACAATGCTCACTTGCCTCTGCTGATCCAAAGCAGTGTATTTGCTTTTGTCTGCTAGACCTGACTTGGTCAACCTAGCTTGGGTTCACACCAGCTCGCAGATCTTGACATTATCTTGTAAATCATTGCACAGGAGAGGCAGGGGCCGATTCTTCCTCTGAAAGCAGCATAGCCTGTTCTGAGGCAGGCATGGTGCTTCCCAGATAGGGCTCTGCTCCCTTTCTGCTTTGAGAGCAACTGCTCCGTGGAAGAAGCAGGCACCTAGTCTTCTTGCTGTAGCCCCTCTGGGCGGGCTTTACAGTGACCTCTTCTGTCTTAACAGGTCTGGATTATTTTTAATTTTTATTTATTTAAGAAGCATATCACAGCTCAGCTTCTAGCTGTAAGAAGTGTGTTGTAATCAGACCTGTCAGAACCTGTTTCTATGAGCCAGGAGTAAGCTTGGGCATTGCCCAGCTCCAAGCACAGGAAAGACTATGCCTGTTTCGTTGCTGTGGGTATTTCTGCATGGTAAATACTGCTGGCATGAGCCCTGCAGGCTACAGTTGTGTATGAGAACAGTGGCTCACCAGGCAAGTTCACTGTGCTTAGACTTTCATAGCTGAACTGCTATACTGCCTCAGCTAGCTGCTTTCCATCACTCTGCATGTGTTAAAAAAAAAACAGCTTTAAAATTGGTATAATTAATGTGAGCTAGCAAATAAGAAGGGAATATCCTGAAAAAGTTGGTGTGGGCTGGGCAATTATATATTTTATCTGTGTTTGATAACGATGGTGGCCTTCTGCTTTCAGCCGTCTGTATCGTTCAATCGATTCCAATCTTCAGTGAAACAGGGAAATTTAGTCTGGGATTGCCCAATCCACTGAACGTCACAATCCAGTTTTCATTTTTGCTTCAAATATACCTTATAGCCTTGTTTTTAGGTAAGATACTTAATTGTATTTCTCACTATTGAAATAAAAAGGCCAGTTTCTTCTGAATAAGTGTATTTTTCAAAGAAAATTAAATTCTTGCATCTTGGGGATCATGGCAACACAAAATTGCTTGAGGTTAAGCATTATCCTTGTTGCTTGTTTATGTAAATTTGTCAGTGATGGAGGGGAACAGACCGACAATTAGCACTGGTTAGCTCCCCAAGAAGGAGACCTTGGTAACAAGTTAGCAGCATTATCTACTGATCACTTGGGTTAAAAGAATAATTTTTATATGTGTTTATAACCTCAGTATACTTAGTTTCACCTTTTTCATGGTATTTGAGCTTTGGAATGATTTAGTGGAAATCTAAACATAATTCGATATTAAAGCAATGTTTAACTAAACTACATTATAATCACTAATGCAACATGAAGTCATGTTTTTCCTGGAAACAATATAGAAGGCTTTTTAAATAGTCGTAGATTTAAAGAAGAATGGTGCTTGATACATATTTGATTTCTGGTGTTACATTTTTAAACGTAAGTTAACTTTGTAGTATGCATACCCAGTATGTCTGGGTATCCACAACTCAGTAGAATCTCACCCAGAATTTTAAACTGAACTTTCACTAGATTTCTCCCTTTCACAGACATTGCTTAAAGAATATCTTTAATCGAGTTTCACTCTGAAATACCTGTTTGATCCTTCCCCAGCTCTGCACAGCTGGTGTTGCAACTTTTTAAAAGGGACGAACCAACCTTCTGAGCAGCCTGGTACCAAACAGCCTGTGCAGCAACTCCTGCCTCACCCAGCAAGAAAAAACTTGCATTATCTTTCAATGCTATACACACCCTTAAACCATTGCTTTTTTGTGTTGTGGTTTGCTTTTTTGGGTTGTTTTTTTTTAAATTTGGTACAGCCATCTAGCATTAAAAAGATGCAATAATGTCCTACCTAAACACTTCATTCTTTTTCAGGGTTATTTGTAAACTTCCGTCATCTCTACAAGCAAAGGAAACAGCACCTTGGACCAAAGAAGAGAAAGATGAAGTAAAGGAGGACTGCAATGTTTTCTTATCTAACTTATCTCAAAAACAAGATAAGCCTCTAATTCTTACGGTTTTACCCACTGTAATGTAAAGAATTTTGTAAAATTAAATGATCACACCAGATTTCATGATTTCATAGTGAATTCAGGTAACATTCCCATATACTGTATTTTGTTCCCTTTCAATCATGTATGCATGGCATTTACCATTGAACAGTAACATTTAAACTTGTATCCTGTCAACTACCGTATTAGAAAGAAAACCTGTTATCTGCATATAATATGCTTATAAACAGTGGAGCAGCACTAAATAGTGTTTATCTTTTGATTGGATATTTGCTCTTTCAATATTGCATGCAGATAGGGCTTCTGATGTTGGGATATACTATTAGCTGGCCCATGCTGTTCCTAGGGTGCATCTTGGTGGCAGTCTGAGACCACTGTGAACAGTGTTTGGGCATTTATTAACAGTTGGGGTAAACTTGCTCAGCACATACTCGCCCCTTTTCTTCTGCAGCATACTGATGCAGAATTAAAACTGGAAGTAGCTAATGTTGATTTAAATGCTACCAACTTAGTCTGTTTCTAGTTTAGCCTTGACAGAATAGGAGCGCTGTGTGGATCCTAGCATTCCTGTAGCAACACATCCTTATCCAGTCATTAGGGAAAGGAAGCTGCCACTCTGTGACATGGTCAGAAATGCTTTGCGGGTTGGTAATGCAAGCACTGAAATATAACAAAATAAGGAAAACATAGGTACCAGCTTTCTCCTAGCATGCTAACCCCAACAGAACTCCATCCCACCCAATCAAAGGGAAAACGTGGAAGTGTCATGGGAGACTGGGCTCCTCTGATATTCCTGGTAGGGCTGCAGCTCCTGTATTTATAGCCTTCAGAAAGGCAGTAAAGATTGCTTTTCTGCTTAAACTTAGGGGTGCAGCTGAGAATTTGGTGTATATGCTTTGTTGGCTGGCCCCTGGTGGGATGGAGTAGTGGGTCAAAATAACCGTCTATTGTTTTGATAGCACGTATCAAATCTCAGTAAGGGAGATCCCACACAGGGTTTGAAGGGACCCTTTCCTCTGTGCTTGCTTTAAACAACAGCAACAACAGAAAAAGAAGCTCCTTCCACATTCCACATTCCACATTATCTACTCTCTCACCTGGAAACCTTTGTTTCAGTTGACTTTATTTCAACATGCCCTTCTTCACACCTAGCCTCCTGTAGTTAATTCCAGATCCCTCTGGCCTCCTTAATCCAGTTTAGAAAATGTACAAAAAGTTTGCTCTAAACTATATTGTGGTTATGAACAGGTTGCTTCACAATAACTGCCACTGCCCCCAGGGCAATGCAAAGCAATGCCAGCAATCCAGAACAGGCTCTGAAGTTGAGATTAGCTTAGTGCCATGTTACTATTTATCTTTTTCTACTGTAAAACAATATGAATCATCCAGAAAATTATTTTCTATATTAAAGGTAACAAACAGCTTACTGTTTGTGATATGGACTCATTGATTGTTACTGTAAAGGAAGGGAAATAGCGTTACATGGAGATTTTAACAAAGAACTGGTACAAGCTCAATGCTGCATTTCACAAACGAGTTCTGTCAGCAAGAGGAATGATGCAACTTCTCTTTAGGGATACTTCAGGCTTCAAAGGAGAGTGCAGCTTACTTTACTCAGAAGAGTTGAGCATTATTTACACACTTAATATTTCACTATAGCACACACTGTACCTATGCTTGAAGTATGTCAAAGGATTGAATTAGCTGAGTAATGGAACAGCAAGGATCACTTTCATACTTTAATTTCTCCACTGGGCATTTCAACTTCTGTTATGAAATCCGTATGTATTCATACATGATATTTCTCAGTGAAATTGTGGTACCTAGTGCAAGCTGTTATGGATCTTACACTACTGAATTTTAGTCCTTCAGAAAGAATGTGTTTCTATTAATAAAGATTTACAACCAAATTTTGCTTTAGTTCAGTTGTTTGTTCTTTCCCTGAATGCGAGAAGTTGTATAATTTAACTCTTGTGATAAACAGCCAAGCCTTCACCAGGTCAATGTTTTAGGCCACACAGCCTAGTTGCTATGAAAATGGAACAAATCCAACTTAAACTTTCATGAAGAATTACTCTTTATTAATATTACACAAATAAAAAACATGTCTCACAAGATTAAGTTAGTTTCACAAGCATAAGCCCTGCAATGCAAGTGATAACTCTCATACGGCAGTACAGGCTGGCGTTCAAGTCGCACATAAAATTAGTGACACCACCCTGAAATTAGCTGTGTAGCGATCTTGCACAGTGATTCTCACACGTTTTCTTTGGACTAATCAAGTCACTGTATAAAGTGTAGTAGCTGCCTTTTAGAATACTTTTACCAGTGAGTTCAGTTATGTAGTAACTGTGTTTTGGGGAGGCAAAAAGCCACAAGCAGTCTGCTGCCCCGATGGCATTTTCTTTCTCTCCTCGCATGTACTAACTTCCACCCATCATCCTCATCCAACACAGTAATTGACTTTGGGACACTTTCCACAGTTTCCAGGTCTGACTAAAGCCACCACAAACTAGCTACATTTAATTAGAGAGCACTGATGCAGGTACGGGACCCCGTTTTGACAGGAAGTTCTCCAAACACTAGCATGTACTGAGTAACTTCCACCCATCATCCAACACAGTAATTGACTTTGGGACACTTTCCACAGTTTCCAGGTCTGACTAAAGCCACCACAAACTAGCTACATTTAATTAGAGAGCACTGATGCAGGTAAGGGACCCCGTTTTGACAGGAAGTTCTCCAAACACTAACTAAACAGGCCCTAGAAAGTAAACGGGACAAGAAAATTTGAACCACTTGAGTCTTAATCTATAGACGTTACCAAAATGGAGACTTCACATTCTTTCAGTGCTGCTGCTGGAAAAGTCTGTCTGCAGTGGAGCAATGTTATGATCATAGGCAGCATATTCCGATGCTCCAGTACTTGCCACTTTAAGCTGCTGAGCAGCATGTGTGAGCTGAAACGCTGCATCAGGATGAGCCGTGTCAGGAAGGAGGGTGCATTCCCGCTCCAGCATGTCTGCCACGCCTTTCAAGAGGTCCAAAAAGCCAAAGGCCAGAGCTGCCTTTCGTAAACGATTAAGTTCCTGCAAAGAAGAAGAAGGAAAAAAAAAAAAAAAAAAAGCCTTTTAAAGCCACTGTAAGCCTTTACATAGAATGTGGTTTTCTTATTTTTTTTAAAGGCAAGCTTATTCACTTAAAGGAAAATAACCTGAGTGATCAGTACAGTTGCTGGAAACTGAGATAAAAAATGCTCCAGGGCTGAAGATGATAGTGGCACAATTAAACAACTGGTTTTCCCTTGATCCTTTCCTGTAAATCTCCACTTCTCCCTTTTCCCTTTTGTGCATTCAGCTATTGTACTTGCCTGTTTTGTCTGTGTCTGTCCCAGCTGGGGGTGGCCTCCAACTTAGGCTTCACTGACTGCTGCCTTTAACCACAGTGTCCAGCAAAATGTATATATATTGATTTTTCTCCACTATAAACTGATGAGTGCTTATGTGCATTTAGGCAGGGTATTCATTCTTGAAGTCTCTGGGGGCTACAATAACAAACTGCTTCAGCACTAAGCTTACAAGAGGAACAACAACTACCTCCAGCTACAGTCTAGATTATGGATTATTACAACACAGCCAAATGTGCCTGGAATTTTGTCTTTCTCTGCTTCAGTTGTAGAAAAAATGTAGGAGACGACAGTTTCAGACTCAGAATGACATCTGTGTTCTTAATTCCTGTCTGATCCCTCAGTTTATTTCTGCCTGGACAACAGCATAAAATCTGCAAAGAAGTTCACCATGGAAGTAGCAGGGATCATGAGGGGCACCTGTAAACATGACAACAGAGAACGTGGTGGCAGGGAAACCAGACCCCTTTGTCTCACCTTAAGTAGTCTGTAAAATAGACCCAGGATGTTTCCTTCACAGAACCATGTATGTTTTTGCAGAGCCCTACAAGCCTGCACAGAACATACCACAGACACAGACAGTATGTGTTCCGCTGTCAAATGCGCCACTATCACTATGCATCAAACTTGGGCCGGCCTGAAATGTTACTCACTTTATAGAAGGTTTGAGTTTTTTCAGGGAGTTTCCTTGCATTTCTCAAGATCTTCTGTACATCTGTCTGCAGAAAAGAAAAAAAAAAAAATCTTGGCAACTGCTGGGGAAGCTGCGAAAAAATCCTCAACTATTTATTGATAAATTATCCTGACCGTTGACAAGACTGCAGCTCACAAAGGCTGAAACATAAATGCTAATTATACTAAACCCAATAAACTAAGCCAGATGCTACACTGGAGACACAGCTTTCATTAAACAAGCTATGCTTTCTGATTGCATTTTAATCATGACATTTTAAAGAGGCAGTGTTTATAAAAATGAAAGAAAAGCAATAAAGCAATTACATTAAACAGACAAGACACACACAGACTCCACTTTGCTGGTAAGATGGTTACTGCTGATCAAAGTAAAGCATCAAGTCCAAAACCTGTATCGTTACCTGGAGGCCACTTGGTTTAATCCATACGGTAACATTCTGTGCATAACTGCGCTTGTTCTTGGGTTGCAAGGGGAAAGGGCTCTTATTGTCATCCTCTCCGTAAGGATTTTCTTTCGCATCTGGCAGGGAAAAGAAAATGAAAAGAACTTAACATCTAAGACTCGGCAAGGTCATTCACACAAGAAAACACTGAATATGTAGAAGTTACTCAAATGAGTGTGACTAGTACCTGAAATAGGTCCAAGCTGTGCCATCTTCCCTAGCCATGGAAGGGGCTCAGGACCAGGTTCAAAGAGCGACATCATGAGGTTTGATTTCTTCTTGCTATCAGCTTGTGAATAGAGCATTCCATACCACTCTGGCCTATTGAAAAGAGCAAATCCCAAAGGCTGAAAATCTTCTATACCTCTTTGCCTAGAATTTGCCCCCTCCCACTGTGTGGAGGCTCACTGTTAGCAATTTATACTGGCAGAAACATATCCATAATTAAACAGTCCACAGCTTTGTCTAGCAGTGCAGAGTTCTGTACAGAATACAGATATAAATAAGCATAATTTATAAATAAAGCATAAATGAGCAAAGTAAGAGATTTTTCAGGCAGACGTCCAGCTCCATACCCCAACTGGACGACAGCCACCATGCCTTCCACTTTCAGGCTGCCATGTAATAAAACACAGAAGTTGGGGATTTTCCCGGCAATCTGATTAGCTGAATTCTCATCTTCGGTGTCATCTGTGATCCCAGGTCCCACCTCATCACCTTCTGGGGAAGAATAAAAGCAAACAAAGAGCCAACATAAGAATAAGTTCAAACACACTAGTTCCATTTCCATGACACCACCCTGTATTTTCTGCCATGCGAGAGTTAATTAATACTTTTCTAGAACAAACAGCTGCTAAATGAACTGTTTGGGCAAAGTGGCACTATAATGTTATATAAATATTCCACTGCATCCTAGTCACAAAACAGAGTTACCGAAAAACTGCAAATAAAACCTCAGCTTTGAAGAAACTAGAAGTGAAATGAAACAGCACCAAGAGTCTTGCAACAAATACATGGCTGCTTCTGAACCAAAAGCACCCTGAATTTCAAGTCCTCCTCTCCTATGCAATTTGTGGTCATTATGAGAAAATTACTACGTTTTAGCAGCTGGAATACTGCTGTGATTTAACTGTTAATATCTTCTAAGGTAAAAGGCCTCGCAGGATGGAGTGTTAATATAAAGATGAAAGCACAGCTGGAGCTTTCATTCTTCTTTGCCAAGAGAAATCTCACTTTCTCTTTGTTCCACTCCAAGGCCATGACAAAAGAAAAGGGGAAGTCCTTATCACAGGCTGATGCACACAAGTAGCTGCAAGTCAGTAATATGCTTAACCATCCTCAAAGCCTACACCAGACGTTTGTACAGATACCTACATACTTGGCCCCAATGAGCAGCAATTAATGCTCAAGTACAACTGAGCAATCTAGTTGTGATTAAGATCAAATTTTTCACAACAACAAATCATTCCAAGAACCAATTAGATGCAGGCATTAAATATTCATCTTGCACCACATATTTCATGGCCCTTTAAGTTTTAAGTTTAGCATGTTCTACTAATAATGATGCTATAAGGACACTGCTCCCTCTATTAACTTTTTGAAGAACACAGTATTGAAAAAAAGAAAGAGCTTGTGTTCAAGGTTTTAATTTTAATGTAACCACACAAACACGTCTTTTGAAACATCTGGCATTTTGATAAAGCATAAAACCTGTGCTTCTAGTCTAAACCACCACAGACATTACAAGGGAAGCTTAAAGCAGTTTTTGCTAAAAGAAACAAAACTTGCTCACCTCTGTTAAGTGCAATGGGCAGTACCAAGTGTCTGGACAAGACAGGAGGGCTAGAAATGTCAGCTATATCTACAAACCCAACAATTTCTAGATCTGTGGGGAGACAACAGGTTTAAGTCAGAATTGGAAATAGCTGAAATGTATTCAGAGTCAATTTAACATTACCACTTCTCACACCACTAAGTTTTCTGAAGCAGTGACTAGAGCTAGCACAACAGAGCCCCAACCTTGACTGGGGTGTCTAGGCGTTAGTAAGATACAAACATTCATACATAATACCAAGACACTTTAAGATGAGAACATAACTTTCATCAGACACATACTGCTGTCTATGAACTGTGCTGCTAGACAAATACAGAATTGTGCACATTGTTTTTTACACTGTACACAATCCATTGCCATTTTATAAATTCAAAAGGAGAGAAAACAAAGGACTAAACCAAATCTACTAGCTTCAAAGTGGCATCACAGAATCTGCAGGAATTCCCATCATCTCTCTGGCAGGGTTAGCCCCACTGGGGCATGTTCCCAGGACTGGGAAGACTGAGTTGTGGTTCTCGAGTTCTATATGCCCACTGGAAGTTTAATGCAGCTCCATCTCATACAGAGTTGTGGGCATTTGCTGGTAAAAGATTGAGGCAGCCATGTCCTTCATGCTCAGACTTATCCGATTTCCTCCCCACTTCTCGGCTGCAAGAAATGTCGTATCGGGTTCATGTCTCTCAGCCATGTGTAGGTTTTGGTGTGTGGCTTAGGACTAGCCTTTGACCAGCTCAACACTGGCAGAGGTGTAGAGAGTACCTGCTTTGTAAACTCTTCTCTACATGAAGCATGGTGACAATGTTGTGCTCTAGCTACGGACCCAGGTCCATATGTGTATGGCACAATTAGAAAATCAATGCGTTTCCAACCTGTACTGCAGCTGGAACCGGGGAGCACAGTCTTCTCCCTGACAACCCAAGCAAAGGACCTGGCCCAAAGCCAATTCAATTGATTTTTCTCATAGCTGAACAACGAACACTTGATTAAAGCCATGGAGGAATCCAGGGGCTGAGCACACCATACACTGCATTTTAATGCACACAGAACAAAACTTCCTTCATGCCAAATTCCCATCTTTGGAATGATAGGAGGAACTCTTAAGACTGTACGCCACACAAAGCCTCCCTCATCAAGACACACTGCATGCTCTTTTTCTTTGCTTTTGCTATTTTGGTACAGATGCACTCACTCCTATTTAAACAGTATGCAGCTACAAATAAGAAGTGATTACACCTCAAATGAGAAATGTTTTTTCTCTTGCAGATTTAAAAAAACCCAAACAAATCAAGGCAATCTTGGTGGCAGTAACATATTGGTTGCTGTTCACGTCCCTGCAAAATTTTACCACTACTGTGTCCTTATTCACATGCAAGCTGTGCACATTTTGTTGATGAACACAGAAAAAAAGGAAGTCTACAGGACAGATCCAGGAAATGAAATTGCCAGTAGAGCTAGAAACTCACAAAAAAGGAATTATCCAAAAGGACACCTGGGCATATGATCTAACCAAGTCACTCTCTTTATGCTTCCCAAATAGTGCAAAGCCAGCACGAACTCCCATCAGCTTTCTCGCAGAGTTAGTCACATTGGGGTGTCACGGAGGGTGCCAACCTTTAGCTCAAGAGCCATAGCGCTCTACTGCCTGACTGGGAAGAACAACAAAATGCATGTGGCCAAGCGCTGAGGAGCTGAGAGCAATTTTGATGCTACAGTTCAAACTTAATTCCTAAGGCAAAGCAGTGAAGCTCAGTGTATTCTCTCCAAGAAGCGTACCTAGCCATTTGCATGTCACAAACATGGGCTATCTACAGACCACCTGCTGTTCATGGGCGCAGCGTCCATTAATGGGAGGGCTGAGAAAGGTTTTCTTTGCACAGTTGTTTTTAAAAATAACTTAGTATTGGTAAGAAGTGCCAGGATGGCAGATAAAGTATAAAGACAGAGATTTCATAAATCTCAACCTTTACTTGTGCTGCCTCACCAATTCTTCTCGACTCCACTCCTAGTAGTTTCCTTTCCAGAAAGATGCTAGTTTGTCTCACCTGATAATACAGTCTTTCTGATAAAGGCAACTCTAATACAAAATACAGCCCCTTCTCCAACACACCTCTCCTATCCTCTGTGAAGCTTATACGGGCATTCACGGAAAGCAGCCCGTGGCTGTCTTCCACAGTCCTTGTCCCTAGAAACTGGCACCCTGAGCTTTGAGAGTGCCTCTACCCTACTCCAGCCCTTTTACCAGGTACACATGGCTGAAACAGAATGAGGTTCTTGTCCCCTGGTGCCACATATACCAAAAAATTACACAGTCAGCGACTGATCCTTGCAGAGAGAAAGTGGATGAACAGTAACTATACAGGATAAGAGGTGGTAGTGAAAAGGTAGAAATCAAATGGATTTAAGTAAAAGGCAATCAAAGATTTGTTACCTGTATTAATTGCTTTAGGGATGGGGTCTATTTCCTCATCTATAATGAAAGGTTCTGGTCTGGGAAATACTTGCACATCAGATGTTAAGTGGCCACACTTGAGAACAGCATGGAATGGTGTATAAGCCAGGTCTATTAGCTTTCTAGAACACGATCAGTTATTATAAAGGAAAACATAACACATATCAAATGAAAATAGTTTGTCTAAAGCACACTAACTAAGCTCCCAAAACTTTTTTTTTTACTACAGTTAATTCAACAGCTCTAGCGTTGCTAAATTACGAAACAAAGCAGCATATTATCACACTGATGGCAAACTAACAATAATTCTGGAAATCAGTATCTTCCACCTGCCAACTGTAAACAGATGCTATGGTTTGTTACAGAATGATTAAAATAAATATTGGCCTTAACCAGCAAAGGTCAAGAGGAAAATACAGTTAACAAGATCATAAATTAAAAGAAAAAAAGGTTAATTAGAACACCTAATATCATCAGATTTCTTGTTATATTTGTTTTCTGTTACGGATACTAATTGGAAAGCTTCACAAAGGCATATTATCTACAAGTCTACTAACCCAAACATCGACTGCACATTCTTCAGGCAAAGGGGTCCATCAATGGTGAAAATTTGCCCTTCCCCATTATTTAAATCTATGAGCCGTTCCAGGCAGTCTAAGGAATCCGTGCTTTGAAGCTGTAAAAAAATAAAATGAAATGTTTTTATTAAGTTTTCTTTTTACTCTCTTTTTATTAACCAGTATGTTTTCAGAAAATATACACAACACAGCAAAAAGCATCTGATTGGGTGCTATCATGATTTTTTGTTATCTCACTCCTTTCTGAATAAACCAACATTCTTGGTCTCCCAGGAAATGTACTCCTTATGTTGCATTTATATTAGACCAGATGCAGCATTTGGCCTAGTAACAAATAATCATAGAATATCCCGAGTTGGAAGGAACCCATAAGGATCATCGAGTCCAACTCCCAATATATTGCTTTATCATATTAGGTTCTGCTTTGAAAGCAGGTTCAAGCAACCAAAAATCCCAGAAGCTCTCAGTGTTCAAGAGCACAGGAATGAAAAAGCCTTAACTAGTGTAACATTTTATCGATAATGCTAAGTTTCCAGCTCCTTCAGGGTAATATAATTTTTAGGAGGGAGGGCAGATATAATTTTTTTGAGAAGTTCTTAGAGACTGTTTGTGAAAGCACCTAAACTTATCAGTAATAGACGATTTATTTTAAACATTTTCCCAGTTATTCTGATGTGTAAACAATGCTTCAATCCATCAGCTTAATCAAGAGGATCATCCTTGATAGAGACCTTGAAGCTGAAATATCTATTGCATGCCTAAGTAGAAAATCCTTCTGTGATGGACAGAAGAATATAGGTGTCAAGTCAAAAGCAATGCTATTAATAAAACCTAATCTAAAGAACTTTAGCCTATATAGGCTTCTTTTTAAACAATTTTTATTCAACAGAATTCTAACTGCTGTGAAGATTTTTAAAGCTGGTATAGCGAGTTTTCAAAGGTACCCGAAGAAAAAGAAAACAGTCACCTTTCCTTCAAAACTAAGGGATGTTAGTTTGAACACCGGCTTGGAGACTTTAGAATTTTGCTCACTCACATTTCTACATAAAGCTATTGTTGTTTTAAGTGCTGAGCATCTTTGCAATAGAAGTCATTTATTCAAGAACTTAATTGTAGATTAAGAAAAGCCCCCAAAAGCATTCGATGTAATTAATGCAGTAAAGGTAATAATATAAACAGAGAAATAAAAATTGCATAATATTCCCCAGGGAGAAAGTGACATGATTTATAAAGATTATGATAATAATGCAACAGTAGATAATAATAGTGCAATAATAAACTTTAAAAAAGATACTACAGGTACTTTCAATAATACTAACACTAAGTTCCGGAATGTCAACTAAACTTTAAAACTAAGCACAAGAACATCAAAGTATGTTTTGTGTTGACCTCATCATTAGTTCAGAGAAGAATAATACTTATCCAATGTAAGAAAGAAGAAGGTATGTGTTAAAGACATCACCTCTTCGAGATTTGCCATGCACATGACATACAACTTGGATGGGAAGGGGAAAGGCAGTGGAAACCGGTTGCTTTCACTACGCTGGTTGTGAGTAGCTAATGAGTGCCGTAGGGAGCCTCTGCCGATCCCCAAGCAGCCATCAGTGACAAGAACAACCTTGAATGAAAGAGGATAGGTCAGCATTTCCAAGTAAAGACACATCTCTATCTGCAGAGGGCAACTATACACCAACACATTTCAGTAGCCTTCCTAGCAGCATGCACTTCTATACTGAAGATCCCTGCTTACACGGATATTTCCTCCACTGAGTTGGGGAAAGAATTGCGAGTAAAATTTCCAGAAACAAGTACATAATGAGAAATTGAAGATTTAACCATTGCAATTTAAAGTATCTGCATGGTAAATATACATTTTGTTGTAATTAGGCATTTGCGCTAAAGTTTAAATTTCATAGCCAGAAACGCACCATGTTGTGCATAAACATGGCCATTTTTAAGTGTACGCTAGAAGAACAGTGACCATACAGCCAAAAAAGCAGCCTGCTGCTGATGGACTCAAGAACTTTGGGTTTATTTTCAGATGGAAAATAAAGGCCAACTATGACCATTTCTTCTGCAGAATCTGGAGGGTGACCCAACTTCCGCTACAAGCCGCAGGAGCCATACAAAAGATAGTATTAACTACCCTAACTCTTTGCAAACAAATACAGCTGCAGTATGCTCACATTTTGCAGCAGAACTATTAAAGCAAAAATATCCATTTTTCCATTCAGTTGCACGTCCAAAGTCACTCCTTGTAGAAATCTGCACTAATAGGTTACTCTGAATAATGGAACTATCTACACTCAGCTGAGACCCAGTCATTCCCAGAGCAGTAAAATAGCTGCTCTTCAACACTGCACAGCAACAGCAGGCATTATTTTTGGCTGAGAGGTAAGGAAAATCAAATGCAACTGAAATTCAATATATATCTGCTACATCCAGATTTGTATTCTCTCTTCATGCTCAATCTCTCTCTTTTACAGTGTCTACAGTTACCATCTGAACTGTTGCTCACCTGTAAGGTTTTTCACTATTACAAGATTCTGCATAGTACATTCCCCACTGCCTTTCATCACCCCATCACCCGAAGTTCCAGTAAAATGAGCCATGACACAAATGAGAGACCAAATCGTTGAGGTCTAATCTATGCTTGGTTTTTACATCTTTCTAGTTCTTTGCTTTGCACGTCTGCTTTTCTAAGCTGCCTTTTATCCTTGTTAGATTACGAAGCATTGCCTAGACAATAAAACTCTATCTTTTTTCTCCTTAAGGAATATTGCTTGAGACATCTTCCTAGCTCACTGAGCTGCAAAATTACTGAACTTAAATCCTAACCCAAAGAGCAACAGGCTCTGAAGTGTCTCAGAAAACTGAGGGCTAAAAGCAGATTTTGCCATAAGAGGCAGCAAATTCAGAAGGCTGAGCGCTGCAAGGGCTGAATGGAATGTGTGAGCAGATGCATGCCAAATGACTCATTAGGGAAA